TATGTACATTGTTAGAAAAGTGAATCGGATTAATCAGTATCGCTCCTAATTTCTTTATGATTAGATCCTAATCGTTAAACATATATATTTCCTTTCTTTCCTTTTCTTTTTATTGTTCGAACAAAGAAATTAAGATATCGTTTTAGATTTAATTGATATTAATTTTTTATTCTGAAACGTTGATTTGCATAAATAAATTAGTTATTTCTCTCTCTCTCTCTCTCTCTATACAAAGGATCTTCTATATATAATTTCATCTTACAACTTACTGATACATAATACATATATGTACGTCTTGATTCACCTACGAGGTACACTACGTGAGTTGGTCTTCCCTTTCGTTAGGCCATTCGAGACGTCGTAGGATTATAAGCCTTAATCCAGAACTAATCGAGCCGAATAACATTTCGAAGACCCGCCGTTGATAATCCTATTATACCGATTGCAAGCCGTTTTCTCACGGTTATTCAATTTGGAGCAGCTTGAAAAGTCGATGTCATAATGAACGAAAGAGAAAATGAATTGATGTCAAAGTTAGACTGATGTATATTGTATTAAGTATTAATATCGAAATTTTATTTACAAAATGTTTATATATTCTTTTAGGATATCCGGCATTAGTAGATATAATACTCGTTAACATATTTACGTATACTATGCACGTATGCATATATATATATATATATATATATATATATATACATATTTGTGTATGTGTATGTATATTCTACGTAGAGAAAGCAGAAGCGAAATTTGTCGGCAAATTGACGACAACTCGATCACGCGGCTGGAAACTCGTAGCGTGCTCGAAAGCATAGCTTTTGCCGGCGCGCCATAACAATTCGCTTTGGCGATGTGCCAGCGAATAGCGAGCGCAGGTGTCGTTATCTTGCCATCTCTATACAGTGGATCAGGCTAAAGAGCGGCAAATTGTAGGCGAGCCGAGCGTAAACCCAACGATGAGAGCTCGTTTGGTATGAACGTTAACGAAACCATCGACTTGTGTAGATTTTTTTTTTTTTTTTTTTTTTTTTAATTCCATTTCATTGTGTTTTTTTTCCCTCTTCGCTTTTTCTTTTCTTTTTTCTTTCTTTTTTTTTTTTTTTTTTTTTTTTTTTTTATATTTTTAGATCGAAGACAAACCTCGAACGAGCAAGATGCGCCCGATGTTTTTTTCTTCTTTTCCTTTCTTTTTTTTCTTTTCTTTTTTTTTTTTTTCGTCATTTTTCAATCGGAACAATCGACGAAATTAATTTATATATACATAATGAGAAATAATAATTATTTCACAATGGTAATCCAATATTTCATATAATTCATAAAGTTTGTCGTATAAAATAAAAAGAAAGAAGAAAAAAAAAAAAGAATACAGAATAAAAATAATAAAGTATTAATTCAAAAAGCATGTCTAACAGTCGGAACTAAAACGAGCCCGCTATACGGTTAACTATCCGTGCCTAGAGGATAGTTATATAGACAGGATGGGACGATCATTCTTGCTTCCTGTAATAACTTCAGTGTATACCGCTGCCGTACGAATACGATTGGCCGCGTCGCGTGTGTTTATACGGTGCGTTTGAGTTTAATCGCGTGGTTCGCTCGCGTTCGTTCGTAAACGGTGTGATACCACTGGCCATTGTCCATTCTGTTTTATTATCTTTTAAGCGCCAACGAAACAGGCCATTTTTCCGATAAATAGGTCATCCACGTTTTCCAACATTTCTCACCTGCAAAATGTCAACAAATTTATATTTCATATCAACGACGTCGTATAAAACGAAACGGGAGGGGCATTATTTTTTCTTCCTCCTTTTTTTTTTTTTTTGTTTCTTTTTTATTCGTTCGTTATTTCGAGAATAAATAACGTCATTAACAAACGGAAAAAAGATAAACGTATGTGTGTATATATACATATATATATTGTAAGGAATGCTTCGTCGTTTTAAAGATCAGCTTAAAAAAATTTAAGTGAGCGACTACGTCGTTCCCACTTGCATATTCGCTTTTTGTATCCTTCTCAATAGATCTTATTCATCGGTACGCTCGTAACTCGTTAGAACGTTCAATGGCAACCCACCTAGATCCCTATACAGCATCAACATAGAGAATCGTCGACTATATTAACTTACATCACCGCTTACGTCGACAACGAATAGAAGAACATAGTACTGGTGAACGATATAACGCGCATAATACAAGTTCCCCGTTGACAGTGAAATTGCCTTTATATCTAAAGTACTCGAGAGAAGGTAGAGAATAAGGAGGAGGGAGGAATGTTTTAGGTGCATCATGTACCACGAGCCCCTTCACTTATAATTACACATTTTACTGCTCTTTCCCGTTACGACATTGCACTCGTAATCTTCATAGTCTCTCTTCTTATTCTGATTTCAGTGTAGTGTGCTACGTTGAACGAGTACGAAAGGACGAAGAAGAGAAGACGGTCAAGTTACGTCGTACGAATCACACCGGATTGCAAAATCGGTGCATACTGAAGCAGGTAATAATATATCTTCTTAATAGATAAGAAATGTCATTAAATTTCTTTTTGTTATATTTCTTTTCATCGTTCATCATCGTTGATAACGTACGAAAACTAATGATGGTATAGTAAGGCTTACTTGCGATTATATTGCATCTCAGAGACAGCTCGGAGAAACGTGCCGCTATAAACCTTACGTTATCTTTCGTTATCTCGCGTTATTACATATGACGGACGTGTTCTAGGGCCCTTCCTATCGAGGCTGTTACACAGCGACAGATGTATACTTATCTCCAACAGTGAGATTCTCCTCGAGGACAGTGAGACTAGATTTAAATGTGATTACCGATATGAAGTGAGTTACTACTAGACATTAGAGAAAGAGAGAGAGAGAGAGAGAGAGAGAGAGAGAGAGAGAGAGAGAGAGAGAGAGAGAGAGAGAGAGAGAGAGAGAGAGATGAAGATAAAGAAAGCAATTGAACGAGTAAATTTCTATCGAATAAAATTTTGTACAAATATAATTGGATTAAAAAATTTCTTTCTAGACAAAAAATGAAATTATTCATGAGAAAATAAAAATAATGATTTATCTTATACTTGTTTTAAATCTTGTCATTGGATAACATCGAAGATATGTAATTTTGAGGTTCTTACATTATACGTTAACTTTATACGGATCATAGAAGACTTCTCTAGTGGATACTGGAAACTGGAAACTGGAATTGTAATTTAGCACACGAAAGTGTTACCGTAAACCTACCATTTGTCCCAATTGTAGGGTTCCATCCCTTTGGTGGGTCAGTAACTCTCTCTCCCTCACCCTCTCCCTCTCTCTCTCTCTCTCTCTCTCTCTCTCTCTTTCTCTCGTATAAAGCTTGAAATGTCGAATAGACGAGATTACGAGCGAGTAACGAACGTACAATCTTCGCTATACACTCGTTAATAATTCTCATTTATTTTCGAGAGACGAGCGTTCGTAATACGTGAAAATTTAACGGCAGATCATCTTTTATTCTCTTACTTGAAACACGTATAGTAGAGCACTGTTCTTAACTCTAACTTTTAAGATCATTCATTCCGAAGAGACATCTCTTAAAAGAGACAAACAAGAAGAGAGCATAAAAGAACTTCAACATCGTTTCTTCGAGTATTTCTCTTGAAGTTTCAACATCAACTTCGACGAAAGGATCAACTTTGAAATAGATTATTTGAATATTTTCATTTATTAACACTATTATATATTTCACGATTCTTCTTCTTCTTCTTCTTTTTTTTTTTTTGCCCCTTTATCTCGCATTACCTACAAACGATAATCAGATCTCGTAATACGCTTTTACGTTACTTTTTCTTTTTCGTTCTTTTTTCCTTTCTAATTTCTCAAAATATCTAACGTAATAAGTTGTTATATCATAAAAAATGAATGTCACTGTCGATGACCTCCTTGAACTTATATCCAGAATTCTCTTCTAAAGATTTTATGCAGGTACTTTGGACGTGCAATGTAACCAGAATAAAAAAAAGAAAGTTATTTTACGACTGCAAGACGCCGTAACAGTTGTTTTCCGAGAAATTATATAGGTCGGTTGGTGAATCTTTTCTCTTTCTAAGAAATTTAATGGGCCAACGTACACATACAAAAATACATATATGAGGATCAACGTTCCTTTCGTTATATTTTACAACGATACTTTTACGCGACATAAATGTATAATAAATCGGAGCCGATCGTTTGACGATCGTTTTGTTTTCTATGTTTATATACCATATATATATATACAAACACACATATACACACACACACATATATATATATATATATATATATATATATATATGTATACATAAATATCAATCACCGAGACATTTATCAGCTCATCGAGAACAGTTAATAAGGGATGGGCAGGTGCTACTTTGTCAGCGACGTTATTCCGATGGGTCTCGCGTGTAATCTTGCTAATGTTCATCCTATCACGTTCGCTCGCGACGATAAATCCGTAGTATCTTGCCCGAAAGCTCCTTGATATCGGCATAAGATACTATATATAGTTGGACTTTGTTGTATACTCGACCATCGCCGCACAGATGGCTCGGTTCCGTCAAAGGATAATCTTGTTGATTTCACGAGACACAATGCAGTTACATCGTACAGATTGGTGAGCAGAAGGACTCTATTGGATCACCGATATCCTTTGTCTCGGCCACTCTTTCAAGTATGTCCGCGGGACAAAACCCCAGCTGCTACCATTTCTTCTCTATCTCTCTCTCTCTCTCTTTTCTTCCTCTCTTCTAACTCTTCCTCATTCTTTATCTCCCTCTGTTTCATTTCTTTTTTTAAAGTAAATTATTCGAGAATCCTAACGAGCTCGTCCCTCTGGACAATTTTGTTTGCTCGCTCAAACTGTATCAAGCATATCGATTCCTTTTTTCAAGCGGTCAACATTGGTCAGTTGCCAACCTGCCGGCTCTGCGAACGTTATGGAAATTAACCTCTCCAACGTAACAACCACCACCCTTTCCCCTTTTTGTCTCGTCGAGATATTGAATTTTTTTCCCTTTCTCGATAGGATCGACCACCGCATCGTACTTTCGCATTTCATCGTCTACCTGTCTTACCAAGAAATCGATCGTTAGATTTCTTTGATAATAATAAAAATAATAATTTTTTCTTCCTAATCTTTTCGAAATAAAACAATGCAAATTAATTGTTCGATTTTATTAAAAATTATACATCATAAATTATTATTAATATCTTACTTTTTATCAAAAAATACATTTACATGTTTCTTTCTTTATTTATATATATATATACATATATATATATATATATATCACTATGTATTAATTTAGACGTGTGCGAATTGATGTCGTATTTCATTTCCTTTGATATATAACACTTCCTAATATGAAATTAATTTCAAAGAGAACTAAGAAATAGTATGCAGAACGTTGCGAACTTTATAATGTAATCTATGGGTTCGGAACTAAGTTGGGTTAATTTGTGAACTTGGCTGAATTCGCGAATTGATATCACTCTCTCTCTCTCTCTCTTTCTTTCTCTCTCTTTCTCTCTCTCTCTCTCTCTCTCTCTCTTTCTCTCTGTCTCTGTCTCTCTCTCTTTCTTCAATCCACCCCTTTTATCACCTCCTACGTATACGCGAATTACAAGTTGGGATAACTTCGTTTCGAAAGAATAAGACAAATTCACCTTCTTTCGAACTTTGAACTTCCCAATTTTTCTCGGACTATCGCTAATTTTCATCTGAAATTAATTTTTTCATCGTCTTCGAAGAAATGACACCCAAGAAAGGATCGTTAAAGAGTTCGCCGTCGATCGATTAGCCGACAGATTTATTGTCTCGGTAATTAAAAAAAATATCCCAATCGTTTCGGCATTCAAGAAAAAATTTCGCCCGGCAAACTTATGAATTTTCCTTGACGATTTTAAATTTATCTTAAAACGAATGAACAAAAAAGAAATTGGCCATCGATAATTGATTCCTACGTTATTCTTGAACAATTTTTCAATCATATCTTATTAATTATCCCAACTGATATCTCATTCTTTTCTTATTTTAAAATACGATTTTAATATTTTCTTAAAGATCGACATTTGAGATGAATTGAATGATCTAACGAAAATAGATAGAGATAATAATTGTTTAATCGTTTGAAATTTCATACGTGAATGAAAGTATTTATGTTGCTTAATACGCATCGTCGTACATGACGTGTGAAGAATTGAATTGATAAAGAAAAGAATATAACAAGAATAATTATAACAATTTGAAACGAAGAAAAGATTTCAAATAATACGTGGAGTATAAAATCATTGATAAGTTTAATAATTCAATCATATAAGATTCCATTAAGAGAATATGTGAGTTAATCGATGAAATTGAACTAAGAATTAAGAGGAAGTATGACAGCTTCTCTATGTCTCTTGTCACCTTTCAAGATCCCAGTTGAGAATCTACCACCCCTCTTCCAATTTCTCTCTCTCTCTCTCTCTCTCTCTCTCTCTCTATCTATCTATCTATCTATCTCTTTCTCTCCCTACCTCTGTCTCTGCCTCTGTCTCTGTCTCTCTTTTCTCAACAGCAACCGTAGGGTTGTATCGAGCCGGTGCGGTGAGACTCGCACGGCATTCGGCATCATCGTCTTGAATGGTGACAAACGGCATGCACCACGAACACACAGTCGCATCGTGGCCTGCAACTCCGGCCATGAGGGACGCTGCAGCGCGCGAGCAATGCGGCTGCAACTGCAAATGCAGCCGATGTACGGTTGACAGAAGCGCTTACGGAGGCGAGAGATCGTCTCTCCTTCTCTCTCTCTCTCTCTCTCTCTCTATATATATATATATATATATATATATATATATATATCTATCTCTAGTTTACTCTCTCGACCTCTTCTTCTATACAGAAGCAAACACATAGACATACATATATATATATATAGATATTGAATGCAGTAACGTACACATATAAACTGATGTATATAAGAGAGAGAGAGAGAGAGAAAAGGAGAGATATAGTGAGTTAGAGATAAATAGATAGATAGAGAGAGAGAGAGAGACGTCTATATACATTTGTATCATCCATCTCTCTTAGTCAGTCGGTGCAGGAGATCGCACGGGTCGCCGTGTCAGTGTGTTTGTGTACACTATACACATATATACATATGTACGCTTTCAGAGTCTCCGAATTTCTCGCGACAGAAGCGAAAGATAATTACGGGGTAACGTTATTTGATAGTTGCTACTAAATATAATTCACTCTAATTGTTAGGGACGAACGAGGCAAGCGCAACGTCCTTAATTGGTAGAAGCTCGTCGAACGCCCGGCCAATCGTTCACGTTTCGCACGAGAGATCGATTCGGAAATTAATTTCCGAGTCTTCTTTTCTCTCTCTTTCATCCCTTCTCTCTCTCTTTCTGTCTCTCTCTCTCTCTCTCTCTCTCTCTCACTCTCTCTCTCTCTCTCTCCTACGATTCTAAACGTCATAGCGAATAACTC